TGACCTCTCGAGGTCCCTTCCAGTCCTAGAATCTATGAATCTATGTCTTTATTATATTTCTAAAGTTAACATGCAGGAAAAAACATAAAATAAACCTTTCCTTCTTTATACATGATAGGGAGAAAAAGGAACAACATCAAACAAAACATAATATAAAATTCTTGCAGATCACCTTGAAAACTGGGGGGACCAAACACTTGATTCATTGAAGTCAATGAAAGATCTTTGTCATTGAATTCTGTAGGATTGGGATTTGCCCCAGTTCTTTAAAAGATACAGATCCATGTGGGCATCTGAATCTTTAGTACATGTTACTCTGATGCATCTTGTGCATCAAATCAAATACCTGGAAAAATTTTATTAAAAGTTTTTCTTTTAACACTGATTTTTAGAAGAGCGCTGATTGGCTGATAAATTTGGTACCATGATCCTTGAAAGTCATTGCTATATTTGCTAGCAGCCATTGTGATGAAAATAACACCACAAGGAATATCTATAACTTTATTTTCAAGCAGTTTTATCCTTTATGTGCCTGGGAGAATGCTTGGAGAGAGCTAACCTATCTTGGGGCTTGTCTATACTTACGCGCTGGTTCGGCGGCAGGCAATCGAACTTCTGGGTTCGATTTATCGCGTCTTGTCTGGACGCGATAAATCAAACCCAGAAGTGCTCGCCGTCGACTCTAGTAATCCTGCTCGGCGCGAGGAGTACGCGGAGTCGATGGGGGAGCCTGCCTGCCGCGTCTGGACCGCGGTAAGTTCGAACTAAGGTACGTCGACTTCAGCTACGTTATTCACGTAGCTGAAGTTGCATACCTTAGTTCGAATTGGGGGCTTAGTGTAGACCAGGCCTTGGTTGGAGACAGCATATTATAAATGGAAAGACTGAAGGCTAAGAACTCACCTTAGCTCTGATGGAAATCATTAATTTAGAAGAAACAACTGAAATAGTATTTATTACATTCTGATATGATGTGGATGACACTAAGCTGGGGGGAGAGGTAGATACGCTGGGTAGGGTTGGGGTCCAGAGTGACCTAGACAAATTGGAGGCTTGGGCCAAAAGAAATCTGATGAGGTTCAACAAGGACAAGTGCAGAGTTCTGCATTTAGGACGGAGGAATCCCATGCACCGCTACAGGCTGGGGACCGACTGGCTAAGCAGCACTTCTGCAGGAAATGACCAGGGGATTATATTGGAGGAGAAGCTGGATATGAGTCAGCAGTGTGCCCTTGTTGCCAATAAGGCTAATGGCTGCATTAGTAGAAGCATTGCCAGCAGATCGAGGGAAATGATTATTCCCCTTTATTCGGCGCTAGTGAGGCCACATCTGGAGTATTGCATCCAGTTTTGGGCCCCCCACTACAGAAAGGATGTGGACAAATTGGAGAGAGTCCAACGGAGGGCAACGAAAATGATCAGAGGGCTGGGGCACATGACTTACGAGGGGAGGCTGAGGAAACTGGGCTTGTTTAGTCTAGAGAAGAGTGAGGGGGGATTTGATAGCAGCCTTCAAGTACCTCAAGGCGGGTTCCAAAGAGGACAGATGGTGGCAGATGACAGAACAAGGAGCAATGGTCTCAAGTTGCAGTGGGGGAGGTCTAGGTTGGATATTAGGAAACACTATTTCACTAGGAGGGTGGTGAAGCACTGGAATGGGTTACCTAGGGAGGTGGTGGAATCTCCATCCTTAAAGGTTTTTAAGGCCCGGCTTGACAAAGCCCTGGCTGGGATGATTTAGTTGGTGTTGGTCCTGCTTTGAGTAGGGGGTTGGACTACATGACCTCCTGAGGTCTCTTCCAACCCTAATCTTTTGTGATTATGTGATACGACACTATACGAGATGACAGTTAATGTAGATACATCTAAACGTGTTTGATTTTTTAATGTCTGACTGTTGGTTATTTCCTTATTTTCAGCTTCAGGTGAATATTGTAGGGCATACACAGATTCTGATGGACGCACGTATTCTGAAAAATCCTGCCCACAGTTCTGCTGTGGAAACTGCATCAGCCGATATTGCTGCTTGGATAGGTCATATAAATTTGGAGAAGATGAACAATTTATGTGTAATGTGCTGGACGACAGGTATGTGACAAACTTCAGTGTGTGAGCTAGTACAACTTTTTTTTCAGCATACCAAAAGATGATAGATAAGGGTATATGGTTTTGTGGTTAGAACAGAGAATTTGAACTAGGTCCCAGAGCTGTAACTAAGCATTTTAGTGCTCAGGGCAAGCAAGCATGTTTGCACCCTCTACTGTTTTTCCACCCCATTTTTCCACCCTTGCGGCTTTGCGCCCTGGGCGGCTGCCCCACTCGCTCCGTACTGGTTACGGCCATGGTAGGTCCTTCAGGTTTTATTCCTAGCCATGTCACTGAATCATGGACTTCAGTAAGCCTTATTTCCTTAACAGCATTTGGTAGATGGGTAAACTGAGGCATAAACTCTTGCCTCCCTGACAGGATTGTAGAATTTGTTGAATGTTTGTTTGCAAGACTTATTGAGATCCTCAGATGAAAGCAGTGGAGAATTAGTCTTTTTGCAGGATAAACTAGTTGCATAATACTTTTCAAACATGGAGAAACTGGATGCTTAAATTTAGATTGTGACCTAGTGTATGTTTGTTGTAATGATGGCATAAAACAAAAAAAGAGAAATAAGCCATCGCTTTGCCAAGATCATTTTTAGGACTTTTTAGCCATTAAAAAAAATTAAGCTTGATTAATTGTACAATTAAAAAATTAATCGTGCGATTAATTGCACTGTTAAAGAATAATGAATACCATTTATATAAATATTTTTGGATGTTTTCCACATTTTCAAATATATTGATTTCAATTACAACACAGAATACAAAGTGTACAGTGCTCTCTTTATATTTATTTTTATTATAAACATTTGCACTGTAAAAATAAAATAGTATTTTTCAATTCACCTAATACAAGTACGGTAGTGCAATCTCTTTATCATGAAAGTTGAACTTACAAATGTAGAATTATGTACAAAAAATAACTGCATTCAAAAACAAAACAATGTAAAACTTTAGAACCTACAAGTCCACTCAGTCCTACTTCTTGTTCAGCCAATCACTCAGACAAACAAGTTTGTTTACATTTGCAGGAGATAATGTTGCCCACTTCTTGTTTACAATGTCACCTGAAAGTGAGAACAGGCGTTGCAAGATATTTATGTGCCAGATGTGCTAAAGATTCATATGTCTTTTCATACTTCAACCACCATTCCAGAGGACATGCGTCCATGCTGATGATGGGTTCTGCTCCATAACTATCCAAAGCAGTGCAGACCAAGGCATGTTTATTTTCATCATCTGAGTCAGATGTCACTAGCAGAAGGTTGATTTTATTTTTTGGTGATTCGGGTTCTGTAATTTCCACTTCGGAATGTTGCTCTTTTAAAACTTCTGAACGCATGTGCCACACGCTTCAGATTCTTAAATCTTGGGTCGAGTGCTGTAGCTATCTTTTTAGAAATCTCACATTTGGTACCTTCGTTGCGTTTTGTCAAATCTGCTGTGAAAGTGTTCTTAAAACGAACATGTGCTGGGTCATCATCTGAGACTGCTATAACATGAAATTTATGGCAGAATGTGCATAGAACAGAGAGCAGAAGACATACAATTCTCAGTCACAAATTTAATTAACACTTTTTTTAACGACCGTCATCAGCATGGAAGCATGTCCTTTGGAATGGTACCTAAAGCATGAAGGGGCATATGAATGTTTAGTATATCTGGCATGTAAATACCTTGCAATGCTGGCTACAAAAGTGCCATGCAAATATCTGTTCTCACTTTCAGGTGATGTAAATAAGAAGTGGGCAGCATTATCTTGCATAAATGCAAACAAACTTGTTTGTCTTACCGAGTGGCTGAACAAGAAGTAGGACTGAGTGGACTTGTAGACTCTAAATTTTTACATTGTTTTGTTTTTGAGTGCAGTTATGTAACAAAAGAAAATCTACATTTGTAAGTTGCGTTTTCACGATTAAGAGATTGCACTACGGTACTAGTATGAAGTGAATTGAAAAATACTATTTATTTGGTTTATTATTTTTATAGTGCAAATATTTGTAATAAAAATAATGCAAAGTGAGCACTGTACACTTTGTATTCTGTGTTGTAATTGAAATAAATATATTAGAAAATGTAGAAAAACATCCAAAATATTTAATAAATTTCAGTTGGTATTCTATTGTTTAACAGTGCAATTAAAACTGAGATGAATCGTGATTAATTTTTTTGAGTTAATCGTGTGAGTTAACTGCAATTAATTGACCACCCTAATCATTTTGTTACTCCGTGCCAGTGTTTACTGCATGTGGGAGACTGCAAAAGATTAAGAATTAAAATAAGTAGACTTTTAATGTCGTGGCAAGGATGAAGATGGGTGCTATTGGTTTCATTTCCCTGATTCAGCTTTCAAAAGTTTGGGGAACAACTGCTTGGGACTATCCAGATTAATATGCACATCGCTGTGGCTTTTCACCATGAAAAGGATGATGCCTTTGAGAACAAGAATGCAATACTTCGTATCCGTCTGGCATTACATTAAAGTAACGTCTATCTCTGTTAACCAAGCCAGATCAAACTGAACTTGAAAATGAGAATGGCAGTTGTTAACTGGATTTCATCTGGCTTTATATTTTTTTTTCCTGTTAGTGAGCTCAAGATATTCTCTTGAGCTATAGTACTCATGGGAGTAGGCATACGGTTTTTCATGTGTACTAGGAATTCCAGAGATAATACACTGGCTTCTGAAGAGTGGAAACAAGTGTAGTTTTGGTTGGATTGGCCTTTCCCCTGTGAACAAAATGTCATTGAGAAGGCATGGAGTACTTGGTAAAAAGAACTTAAATTCCACTTTTGAGACATGTATTTGTCTTATTACAGGACATATCAACCCATCAAGGAAGAAACGTTGAAGTTGCGTTCACACTTCGATGATGATTGGGAACCTAGACCCAGGTAAATAACTTAAGGATTAAACCTGTTTTTATTAAAGATACTTTATTAACGTGGTGTATACAACACATGCAAAATGAAAATACTAACAAGTCACACCACAACATTCTCAAGATTACTATATATTTTAGTTTATATGAAGAAGTAGGAACTTGGAGATAAAAATTGTGTAATGTTAGTTTAGGCCATAATCTCAACAGTATGTAATTTTCCATCTTGTTTAGTGAATGGGAGTTTTTCTAAACCATTGTTATTCTTGTACTATATTTCTTTAAACATTGGCAGACTTTTTTAGCATATAGTGGCTAAATTTCAAATGCTTCTTTTGTTTTAAGAGTCTAATTATTTCTGACATTCTCTGTATATGGAATAGAGAACACTGATAAAACCGGTAATACTTCTCAAACTGGTAAAAGCTTTAATAAATAGTTGTTTTTTTTGCTTTAGGTTTATTTATTACAGTGCCCATAAGAATGTTAGGTATTGTGTGGTACAAATAAAAGACTACATTCTTGCACTGAAGCAACTAAAACTTAATTTTGGATATGATGACTAAAGGAGATAGAGGAAGAACAAAGGTTATGCTAATTTAGTGATGAGGACAGTGATGTCTGCCTTATACAACTATATCATGTGGTTTTCTAGTTTAAGTATGTGCACACCTTCATGGCTCCACTAAGTTTTTCTAATATTACTTAAAATTGACTCTTTTTGCTTATGAGCATCATGGAAAAAAGAAGGGATTTGAATGAGTTAGGGTCAGTGATGAGGCCAGCAAGAAACTAGAAAGCCCAGAATTGGGAGGGCATTCCATGTACACCTCTACCCTGATATAACGCTGTCCTCGGGAGCCAAAAAATCTTACCACGTTATAGGTGAAACCACGTTATATCGAACTTGCTTTGATCCACTGGAGTGTGCAGCCCCGCCCCCCCGGAGCGCTGCTTTACCGCGTTATATCCGAATTCGTGTTATATCGGGTTGCATTATATCGGGGTAGAGGTGTATATGGAAGTGTGAAAAATAGCACAGAAATGATTCTGGGAAGAGTAGGCAAATGTACAAGAAAGCTGACATAGGTGGTGGGTGGGGACAACCATAATAAGAATCAGCTGGATATGTAGGCAGGGTGGAGTTAAAGGTCTTGAAGATGAGGATGAAGATTACATTTGATGTGGTAGTGAAAGGCAAGCTAAAAAGGTGATGACATGGTGTGTTGGTTTAGGGAATCTGTCTGTATTTAACTTACAAATTCTGTTTGATATTGGGGACTCAGTTTGTCAGTGTTGGGCTGCAAATTCCATTCTGAATGTAGGGCTAGTTGTGGTCCCTGTCTTTTTAGCTCTGTGTTGGATTGCAAGTCCCAGGGGTGGTGACACAAGGAAGGGCAGTCTACAAGTCTGTCTTTGAAAGGGTCAACCTTAGCCCAGACAGAGCAATGGGATAGCTGAAGTCTAGGGGGAAACCAGTTGTCACCAGCTTCTCAGTTTGGGCTGGGGTTTGGCGAATGGAAAATCCCCAGCCACAGAACAAAGTAACTAGGTATTGGTGGTAGAACTTACAAACTCATAGAGCAGAGGAGAGAAAGAGAGGGGCATGCTTTTGTAGCAGTGGGGGTCCTGTTTAACCATTAGCTCTTCTATACTAAATAACTCTGCTGCCCTATTGTACTAGTTTTCCTCTATTGCACCAAGTATTCAGTGCTCCTTAAAACCCACTCATGTGACTATAAGACTGCTGTAGAGGTGTGGAGTATATTTTGAGTGATATAATAAGTATACACAAATAATTGATACTCAGCTCTATTAGTATTGAAAAAGAACTTAACATTTTTTTAAAAAGTCAAGGTTGCTAAATGGCAATTAATTTTACCCCTCATGTAGTTTATAGAACTTAAGCTCTCTATAAAAAGCCCCCCCAGAATTAAATTTAGAGCACTAAATCTTCCATTACCCATGTTATTAATTTAAACATTTATGCTTTCAAGATACAAATAAATCCTTAATTCATCCCATGGTTTCTTAAATTCGGGGCGGCAGTTCAGCGGCAGGTCCTTCGCTCCTAGAGGGAGTGAGGGACCTGCCGCCCCCGAATTGCCGCAGGTGCCGCCCATCTCCCTTGGCCGCCCAAAGCACCTGCTTGTTAAGCTGGTGCCTGGAGCCGGCCCTGGGGAGGTGGAGATAGAGAAAGAGGGCCATGTTTTGTTCTTATATCTTATTACCTTGATTTTGCTATCAATATTTTCTCAAAAGATACTGTTTAGTGGGGAATAAAGTTAATATATTAACTTACTTCACTAATATTTTGTAATTTATAATTCTAATGCGTTCAGAACAACTTCCTACCTGAACATTATTAGGAAAAAATATATAACACTGATTTTAAAATACGGCTTTATGATGGAAGTTGGGTGCCATCTTACCTACAGAGAGGCTATTGCATCTCCATAATGATGCTTTGCTTTATTAGATGTCTGAACGCTTTGGAAAACGTATCTTTTAAGGGTTCCAGCTCTACTGTATATATTTTTTTCTGTCACTATGTGCTATGATTCATAAAGCTAGTGTTAATTACTCTGTGCAAGCCTCCTATTTTCAGCAAAAGAAAGTAAATAACTTGGAGGAAGTGTGCACAAAGCAGGAGCTAAAGCATTGTGGTTTGTTCTGAGCAGCTGCTGTATTGAAAAAGCAACATTAAACTGATCAGCAAGATTAATGACCAAATGAGATGGCATATCCATAATTTCAGGGAAGCACTTTATATATTTCTTACATCTAAGGAGTGAACAGGGCTTTTGCTTCAAAAGATATAAAATGGAAGATGTTAACAGGATATTCAAGGGTTATTTTTTTTTCTTCTGTTTGTGATTTGTGTTGGGGTTAAGACTGAGTGATACTCATCCCGTGGCTTTGAGTGCGCTGTATCTAACAAGAAGGTGTGCTATATAGACTTCTGTTCTATTTGATTTTGTGTTCTTATATTCACAGTTCAGCTTTACAGTCTGTTTTCTATGTTTGACCCATGAGCTAACTGAAATGAAGAAATTAGCTAGGGCTGATAACATTTTATATCAGGGATCGGCAACCTTTGGCACGCGGCTCGCCAGGGTAAGCACCCTGGTGGGCCGGGCCGGTTTGTTTACCTGCTGCATCCACAGGTTCGGCCGATCGCGGCTCCCACTGGCCGTGGTTCACCGTTCCAAGCCAGTAGGGGCGGCGGAAAGCGGTGGCCAGCACATCCCTCGGCCCACAGCGTTTCCTGCAGCCCCCATTGGCCTGGGACAGCAAACCGCGGCCAGTGGGAGTCGCGATCGGTCGAACCTGGGGACGCGGCAGGTAAACAAACCGGCCCGGCCCGCCAGGGTGCTTACCCTGGTGGGCTGCGTGCCAAAGGTTGCCGATCCCTGTTTTATATACTTAACTCTGAGCAGTACTTGCACAAAGTGGGGGTGTGGTGGTGATGGTGGAGGGAATGAAAATGCCAAATGCCATACTCCAACATCTACACCCGACTGTCTAGTACAGCTAGCAACTGTTTCAGAATAGCCTTAAAGCAGGAGGAAGTGTGCAGTGCATGAGCAGTATGAATGCTGTTAATCTGTGTTTAAAGGAACAACAAAAAGTTCACAAGAAACACTGCAAAGTTAAGTGGGGAAAGGAAGGCCAGGGACTTTGCACATTTGTTTTCTCTCCATGGAAGCTTTAAGGATAAGATCTCTCTCCCATTAAAATAAATGGCAACACTCCCACTGGCTCAAAGTTCAGCATTTTGCCTTTCCTCACCTCAATTACTCCAAGATGCTAGGTGAAGGGATGAACCCTAGTTGTTTGCAATTCCATCTGGGCTTCTGTGAGCTTGATTTGTGGATGGCTTGTAGACTAGGAGGCAATCCATTACAAGTTAAACCTTTTCCATGTCAGTGAGAGTTGGTTAAAGGTATTGGAATGGATTCCAAAGTTTGAAAATTGGAAGAAACAACTTTTTTGCCTAATAAAATTCTTTCTGTGGATTTAATTTACATGATTCCTCTATAAATTAGGAGAGATCTGAACTATTCATTTTGGATGTAACTTTTGGCAATTGCTAACAGTCACATATGGCTATCAGATCAGAATTTGAATGAACAAGTATTTAAGGAAATTTCTTAAAGCAAATGGAATCTAATTTTAATCTTATGTCCACCGATCAGTCACAGAAATGGACATGTTCTCTACTAGTGAAACAAATGTCAGTTACAAGGCTGACTTGTTAAATGGCCACCCCCTCACAAGCTCTTCCTGAAATTTCTTAGATGGCAATACAAAAATATATTAGAACAAACAGATGCTGAACTTCAAATACTTAATACTAATAACCTGTAATAACGTATTAGCTCTCTTAAAAAAAATTCTTAAATCCAGATTGGTGGACATGTAATTCAGAGAAAAATATGTTATTTGGCAAGATTAATCCCTTTCTTTTAGGATCCACCAATATGTGTTGTAAAAGAAGTGCCCTACCAGATGGCTTTTTTTTTCCCCCCCCCCCAACATTTGTTGGTATAAGGTACAGCACACAGAGCACTTCGCCAGTAAATTTTGTCTCGAATTGTCTGCAAATCTCAAAGGTGTGTATTTTTGACAACATAGCTGTATAACAGTATCTGTGATTGAATATGGCAAGGGTACTAGTACTGCAGAAACCATGTGGGAGGGAAGTTTAGTGTTCACCAGAGCCCCTAGCATGAAAATGCAAAATCTTGTGCTTTCCCCATGTTTCACTGTAGCAAAACTCAACAGGATAGATTAAAGGAAAAAGTAAACTGTACATGCCCAAGACATTTTTAACTTTTATTATTTCATAGCAACCATCTTTTCAAGCATGACAGACATTAGTTTTCATTTAGGACTACGTACATGCTCAATTCTAAGACAAAGCCACTCTGTATATCTAGGGTTTTGAGTAAAAAAAAATATAAAAAATCAGGAATTTGTTAAATAAAAATTACTCTTTACTAACTCTGT